TGTCTCGTGTTGGGAATGGCCTCAAGGGTGATGAATTACATAAATAATAGAAATTTTGAGTCTCCCTGAAGTTACCGAATAGAGCTTAAAAACTGACTGGCAGAGAAAGATGTAAAGGTATGCACACAGGATTGTAAGGGTGTCTGGAACCAGTGGAGAAACAAATAGGGCAGTGTATGGGAAAAGCCGCTTGTCTGAGGGAAGGAAGATGGTCTTTTCCTGCTTAAATAAGGACTTGGTGCCTCTTGGAAGCAAAATCCTGTCATGACATTTTGTGGGAGAAGCCAAGCTAAACGCCAATACCGATTGGCTTACCCACGTAAACCAGACCTGAGGGAGCAGGTGGTGTATATGCACATAAAGATTCTTACTTTCATTTTTAAATACAGCAGGGATGGTGTCATGACTCATCAGTAGAGGGGTGAGGTTATTTGTAAATTCTCATCAGACTGAACTCTTGCGTTTTTAACTTAGGCAAGCCCACTGCTGAGCTTCAAGTTGCTGGCTAACAAGCCCTTAAGTTCTTACAATACATTTCCACAAATGTCATGGCTAACAATTCCTTAATTCTATTCCATACTCTTCATTACAGTCTCAGCTTGTAAAATGAACTACTCAAAGGTGCTGGCCCAGAAGCCACAACACACTTCCACAAGCTCCCCACACCCACAGTGAAATTCAGTATGGGAGGTAGACTATGACAGCTTTGTATTGTCCAGGGAAAGCAAGATGGAACAGAAAGAAAGAAAAGGGAGGGAGTACAAATAATTGTCACCAATCCTCAGATCCTGCATTGGTCCTTGTTGCTGTGGCTGAGGTTGACCAGCCCAGGCTAGCTCCTGGCATGACAGCAGGTGCGTGGGCTATCCCCAGAAATCCACACAATCAGGGGTATGGTTGGTGAGTTACACATGGGTCACAGTGGCATGCTCTATGGCTTTTGATGTCAGTGAAAGTGCCAAGGGATAAAGGATGGAGAGGAACCTTTGGGAAGAGTCCCAGAGAACTCTACTCCCCAAGGGGGTCAGGGACCAAAGAGCCCTGAGCATCACTGTGCTTGGAATTTTATATGGCAGCAACTCATTGGGATGGTACAAACAAACAGCCAATGGGGAATTCAGGCAGGAGGAGCAAGGGGAGGGCATTACAATGCAGGGACTAACAGGGATGAGGGGGTGAAGAGGATTGGTCACATAGGCCAATGGGACCTTGAGGGTTAAGGGATTGACAGGGAAGGGTCTAGAACAAAGGGCAGGGTTTACAATAATGGACAAAGGGGAACTTTAATACCATTGGTGTTTGGAGAAACTGACATAGACCATTCTGGAACAAGGGGAAGGATACCATGATGATTGACACAGGAGAAGGGTGGGGAGAACTTAGGGAGAAACCATTCTATTTCAGGGGAAAGGAATTTGGTGTTGACTATTGGTACAAGTGATTAACATCAGTTAAACAGCTTAGAATAAAAACACACCACCACGGGTCCTGATGTGTTTGGTCTGCAGCTGGGGTTGTGAGAAAGAAAGTGAAAGAGAGGGAAACGAGTGTGAGAGGGCCTGACCTGCTCTCTTATAGATAACATGGTGCAAACCTCTTAGGTGAGCCAGATATTTTTTGCTATTTTATTCACATGTGCATAGCCAGCCCTTGGACCCCTCCCACAGGAGGTGAGTGGGGATGGGGACACTGAGCACAAGTGTCAAGGTAGAGCAGGAAGTTGGGTCAGAACAGTGCTGCCTCACCTCTACATCTTTAGATCACACCTTTCCCATTGTAATAGTCACAGTGTTTGAGGCAAAATATGCTTATGTCTGGTTCTCCATAGGTCACAAAAGCAAAGAAATAAAATAGGATGGTTGGTGGAAACAGCATGGCTACTGGAGGTTAGAAGCTGGTTGAAAGAACAGTGAAAAATGAGGGCAGTTCCTGTATTTGGCTCCTCCTTTTACCATTATTCTGATTCATTTTGAGCTGTGTTTGCTATTCACATAGAATCTTTATTTGATTTGCATAGGTCTGCAGAGGCCAAAGGTTGGATGTGGTGCAGATGTCCTGAGATCCAAGAGAAACTTTCGGATGAGGCTGCTGCCAGTTTTTATTCACATTTCATTTGAATATCAGCTATCATTAGGAGATTAAATGCATAAGTGGTCACATCTTCCTAGCCTT